GGGTGGGGCGCCGCAGCCGGCTGCTGGCGTCCGCTGCGCCCGGCCTGCCGGTCGGCGCGGCAGGCGTGGGCCGTGCGTGGGAGGTGGTCGGATGCAGCCCCCTCTCTGCCGAAAGCTGTTGCGGCTGCATCCATGGGTTGTACGAGCGCCTTTGTTGCTGCATCGACACCGCAGGCACGACTGCCGCCACGCCTGCAGTTGTCAAATCGCCCCCGCATCTGGTCGTCCCGCCCGTCGGACCACTCTCCCGCGGCCCCCGCACCTGCAGCATGCTCGCCGCCGCCAGCCCCGACGGCCCCGCGCCGACGACCACGACCCGCCCCGCCGGCGGCCGCCGCCGCGGCCGCTGCGGCGGCTTCTGCTGCTGCGCCTCCTTGTCCCCCGCCTTGGCGCCGCCCTTGGCCCTGCGGCCCGTCTCCTCCTTCTTGGTCTCATACCCCTTGGGCTCCAGGGTCTCCCTGCGCTCAAGGTTGTCTATGAAGTAGCGCACCTGGTGGAGGGGCGGGCGGCGGCCGCTGACTCAGCGTGCGGTTGGAGCCAGTTGCAGCCATGGCGGACGCGGCTGGCCGGGGCTGCTCAGTGCGAAGTTCTGCCGTGCCGGGCGGTCACAGCTAAGCCTTGGCTGCCGCAAACTTTCAGAGCATCCCGCACGCAGCCCGCGGTCTCGCAGGTGATTGCGATAAGGAAAACGTCTGCAAAACGCAACCGGCGCCCCCAGCACCCACGTGGTCCTTTATGAGCGCCTTCTTGTCCGACAGGTCCAGCCCCCCAAAGCTCGCCGCCAGCTGGGCGCGGATCATCTTCTCGGTGGTCACCGCCATGTCAGCGCCCCGCAGCACCTCATACAGCTTGAACACCAGCGCCCGCTCGTCCGGCGCCCCGCCGGCCGCCGCGGCACCCGTGCCCTCGCCGGCGCCCTCGCCCGCGGCGCCATCCACCGCCCCGGCCGCGCCCGGCTGCTGCGCCGCCACATCCGCCGCAGCCGGCGCGGGGGCCTCGGTGGCGGCCTCCGCCGCGACCTGCTTCTCCTCGGCGGCTGCGGCGGCGCCATCGGCCGCGGCCCCGGCGCCGTCGGCGGGGCCCTGGGGCGGCTTCAGCGCCCCGAAGTTTATGTAACCCCAGTCCTGGAGGAATTGGTGGACGTCCCTCACCAAGCCCTCGGGACAGGACGGGGCCAGGTCGGCTGCGGCGAAAAAAGAAGTGTGAGGCGTCCGGATAGTGAGCGCATGTGGTTGCTTGCCGAGAATTCTGATTTCCGCAGCAAATGCAGGCAACGCGGGGGCAGCGGCGGGGCGCGGCGCTGCAGCATGCGGGCTTGCGCGAGTGTTTGGGGGTGTCGTTTGCGACTGGCGCGCACCTGCGCATTGGTCCTCTGTCAGGAGCCGCGTGCTGCTATCATCATGAAACCATTTGGCAACAATCTGGTTGCTGCGGCACGTGCATTGGGGCGCCATGCGGGGCAGGCACAACGGGGGTTCAGGCGCCGCAGCAGGCGTGCGGACGGCGACGCCGCTGACCGCTGCCATGCAACAGCGGGAGCTTGTGCGGCACGGCACTAGGCCGCGCATGCACGCGCAGGAGGCGGGAAGGGCGAGGGCCGAAGTCTGAAGCGACGCGTCGCGCCGTCGCATCGCCGCGCCATCACCAAGGGCACGCACCGTACACCAATATATTCCTGAGACTGGCCACCAAACGCTTGCCGCTCCTTCTTGTTGAGGACCTTAGGCTTCAGGCCCACAAACAGCAAGGCCTCGACAACAGAGTCGTCTGGAGCTCCGTCTGCCCGCACAGCAGGCCGATTCCTAGCCCTTAAGCCATATGATCTGCCCGATGACGCCATTGGAGGCTGGCTGTGGGTGTGTTTGTCAGCTAGATCATCGTTGATCTTGGCACACTGCACTATGATCACACCACAGTGATTGAATGCCGTTCTGATTGTTTTGATCAGCATGCCTACTTTGAGTTGGCTCGCTGTTGTTCGCAGGTTGTTGTCACCAGTGGCCGCGACGGCCCGTCATTACGGTATTGCAGGCACAAGGCGCCACAACGAGGAGCGCTTTTGGAATCAAGCACTGCTGCGGTTTGATGCTAATCTACGGTTTGCCACGGGTCACCAGCCACGCCAGCCCATGCCATGTCAGATGCCACTGACGACCGCGTCAAGAGGCCTGGCGCCGTTCGAAATTGGAGGCACCTGGCAGCGCATGAGCTCCATCAGGCGCAAAGCCCCTGACGATGCTTCGCTCTTCACCTGCTCTGGACAAGGTTGCAGTATCTGGTCACATTCTCTCACGCGGCCACCGTAATTCGCCACTGGCGATGGACATGCACTGGGTGACTGGTGCGGTCAACCGGCCATAGACATAGCCAATTGGCGACCGCCGACTCCACCCTGCCCGACACGCCAAAGATTGAGTTGGAAACCTCCCTGACTGCTCTGATTAGCGTATATTGAGGAACCTGCAACGTCCAAGGCCCTAACACAGCACTGCAGCAAGCATGTGTGCACTGTCAACTGTCCCGGCGCTCGCGTGACTGCAGTCAATCTGTCATGAGTGGTGGTCGAACCGACAATGCATGCACTCACACACTCACTCCGCCGCCGGCGTGGAAACCACCGGCGTCAGAAATGATGTCAGCGCTGGAAGGGTCGCTGAGTGGGGGCGGACACTGAAACTACGGCAGTACCATGTAGACTTGGGCAGGGCACCCTGCCGTGGGTTGTGTGTGTGTCGCTGTGTCGCTATAGCGTCTTGGTACAGCTCCGAGCCAAACAGCCCGTGAGCGGGGCAACCGGCACTGGAGTTGATCACTGACCACAGTGTATGGACACGTGCCCGCAGGTAGGGGCCTGTTGCTGAGGTGCTGTTGTAGTACCTCAGTGCAACTGTCCAGCACAGATCGAGCATCCTGGACGCCTCCAGGGGCAGGTTGCTTGGAGGCTGGACATTACGGCTACGGTGTCACCAAGCACATGTCGATTGAGGTGTCAAGGTTGTCTGCACAGCGTGAATCAATTCGTTTGAGGAGGCGGCGGCGCACATGCGCACGTGCCTCGAGGTGTCACCTGGTGACGGCAAGTTGCCAGGGCGTCATCGTGCCAATCCAGGACCTCGGCAGCGTGCCATGGATAGCTGCAAGGCCATTGTCCTACCCATGTACGTACAGCTTGATCAGGCTTCGATCATTGTCGATTTGGAAAGTTGGATCTTCGAGCTGTCCGTGCTGGTAGCCCGTGCTCTGGCATAATATGCAGCCTGCGTGACTAACATGATTCCTTCATGTGGACAGCGGGCGCATACGGCACTGTGCGCCGCCTGGCGCCGTGCTCTGCCATGCCCAGCAAAATGCCCGCGGCACGCCACGTTGCAGCCAGCTGCACATGTTCCCGAATGCGCCTCCCGCCGCAATCGGGAAAATGGCGCTGGGAGGCCGCTGTCTGCCCCGGCGTCGTCGCGCGTGCGCCTCAGCACCTGCGGCGCCTAAAGCGCCTCGGTGCCGTCGACCGGGCGGCATTACTCATATAGCACAGGAGGCAGCAGCGGCGGGGCCCCGATTTTCGAGATGCGAGCGCGCGTCCTGCGACTCATATCAAAGCGCGACAACTGGCGCTGCATATCAGTCAAGGTGATCGCGCGCGCATCCGTGCTGCAGCACTCCAAGCACAAGGTGCCGCACGCGTGCGAGCGCCGCCCCGGCTTCCAACGAAGCCCAGCCGTTGATAAACCCAGCTCATTCTTGTTTGTTGTTTGCGGCCGCCGCCCCGCCTCACGCGGTCGCCCGGGAATCGTCCGCAGGTGATATCCATTGAAGAGCACACGCACGACGGCGGCCGGCGCGACGCCGGGCCCGGCCCCGCCGGCAGCAACACAGTGGTCGCGGTGGGGGTCGATGTGCTGGCCGAAGCTGACGAGGACGACGAGTTGACCCTCCTGGGGACCTGGAGTAAACACCCACAGTATGGGTGGCGTTTCAGGTGCGCCCGGTTGGCTGCTGTGGGTGCAAGGCTAACTTTGGGTGCCTGAGATGCCGAGGTCTCGTGAGGGCGGCGCCGCTGGCCGCGCCTTTTTACCGAGTCCCGCCGGCGTCGGCGCTGCGTGGGGTGGCGGTGCAGTCCGAAACTGCTTGGGCAGCCTGTAGGGCCTCACGGCACTGCTTCACACCGCACCGCACAGCGCGCTCACTGCGAGCGCCCACCATTCACACCCCTCCGAAGCGTGACCTACCGGCAGCCCTCAGAGTCGGACGCGGCTGCGCCGCAGCTGCCGGGCGACGCGGACGGGCTCAAGCGGTACCTGGTCAATGAACTGGAAGGCGTCGGGCCGGCGACCGCCGAGAAAATCGTCGAGGCGTTCGGGGTGGAGGCTCTCGGGCAGGTGCGCGGCGGGCGCCGCGCGACACACCCCCTGGCGTTGCGCGGGTGTGGTGACACCGCTCGCCTAGGGACGGGGAAGCTGCGGCGCGGCAGCCGCCTGCTTGAGCTGGCGTTGCCCGGGCGATTTTACAACGACGCCTTTGAAGGCAGCGAGGGTTGTGCGAAGCAGGACCTGACGAGAAGATTATCCGCCGCCGATTTGCCAGTCCTGTGGCACGCGTGTGCGTCGCGCTGCGCGACGTCGGTGCAACTGCGCCATGCGGCGCCCGCGCCGCAGGTGCTGTCCGGCGCCGACTGCGCCAGCCGGCTGGCCCAGGAGGCCGGCGTGCGGCCGAATCTAGCAGAAGATATTGCGAGGCAGTGGAAGCGCAAGATCGGTGGGCCCGGGTTCGAGCCGGGATTGCGACTGGGCAACGCCAGAAGCGGTGTCAAAGACGGCGCGCCTGCACCAGGAGTCTTGGCCAACCGTCGTCCCGGGGCCCCTGCCCTCGTCCAGCCCTGCGATGGCCGCATCACACCTGGGCCCTGCTCACCTCGCTGTCTCTGCCACTCTGAACCGCCCCTGCACCCGCCCTCGGAACACACGCGTCTCGCGACCCCCCAGAGTTCTACGGTGAGAGGGAGCTGGCGGCCATGATCCGCCTGACGGCCGACATCCACCTCACGCCTAAGCGGGTCGACGCCGTCAGAGCCAAGTTTGGGAGCGCAGTGGCGGCCATGGAGGCGTTCTCAATAAACCCATGGGGAGCCGCGCGCTCGGCCGGCCTCAGTTGGCTGGCTGGCGAGCAGGTGGGACGCCCCTCTCTCGGCAAGTGTGTGCGGGCGGGCGTGCGCAGGTGCGCGCGCGCGCACGGTCAGCAAACACAGCCTCCAGCGCGAACCACAGGCAAGCCTAGGCCCTGCCACCCTTCCTTATCTACATTTTCCCCACAGATTCGCATGTGCGTGCCGTGCATGGGGGCTTCGTCCACGAAGCCCACGCCCCGCCCACCCTCTTTGACTCTCTGGGCCCCCCGTCTTCGCCGCCCGACGGGTGACCCCATGATGGCTCCAGGAGCGGGCGACCGCGGGATCTTGTAACAATCCTAATCCTAATCCATGTTCAATAAGCAACACGCGCCACCGCTCCTTGACCTGCGTCACCCCCGCCGCTGCGCCGCAGGTCGCAGAAGCCTTGGGCCGCGAACCTGGCAGCAAGGACCGCGGCCGCGAGGCGCTCGTCCACGCGCTGGGGCTGGCGGGCAACGACGGCCACACGGGCCTGCCCTGGCGAGAGCTCATGCAGGGTGCACAGGGTGCTGCAGTGCATGGCTGGTGGTCAAATGGCCGCAGCGCTCGCGTGGGCCTTGGTCGGCTCACCATCCCGTAGCTCAGCTAACAGGAGCGACTGCTCTTTAGCAGGCCGTGCCGCACCGATGGCCCCCGCCGTGTCTCGACGACAGCTGCACCCATCCGGCCTTGCTGAACGTGTGCCCGTTCATCGCACCCACCCCTCCCTGCCCCGGCCATTCGCGCCCGCCATCATCAAAGAGACCCTGGATCTCATGCGAACCACCGGCCGGCCGTGGCCCGAGGACGCGGCGCCGCTCGCTGGCTGCGCGGGGCAGCTGCGCAAGGCGGGCCGTCTGGTCGTCGAGCGCCCCGACTCGCTGGCGCAGACGGAGGGCGGCCTACCGTGGGACACGGCGGAGCGGCGGGACGCGCTGCGGCGTCAGGCCGCCGAAAAGATCCATCCGGATGACTGGTGAGCCGCCGCGCGCGGCCGCCGACGGCGCCGCGGCAGGGCCCGCGCCCGCAGCCGCAGGCGCCGCCGCCGCGGCGGAGCCCGTTGCCCGCGCCCGCGTCGGGGTTTCGCGATTCGCGCATTCAGACCGCGCCCTCGCGGGCCGGCACGTAACGCGCGCGCGCGCGCGTACGCACGCGCGCAGGTGCGCGCTGCGCCACAGGTGGCAGGAGGAGTGGGGCTTGGCAGAGGGCCTCGTCGCCCTGGCTGCGCGCGGCGCGCGCGCGCCGGCCCGCCCCGAGCCCAGGCATCGCCCCGAGCTGTCACCGGGCCAGAACGCCGCCGTGCGCGGGGCCGCGGCGTCTCCGGTGTTCATTATCACCGGCGGGCCGGGGTGCGGCAAGTCGCACACAGTGCGGGCGATCGTCGAGGACGCGCGGGAGCGGGGCGAGTCCATTGCAGTCTGCGCGCCCACAGGCGCGCGCGGCGCGCAGCGCACAGCAGGAGACGCGCGAAGCGAAGCGCGCGGCGCAAAGCGCGCGGGATAGAGCTCGCGGTGCAAAGCGCGTGGCGCAAAGCGCACGGCGGCACCGCGCAAAGCGAAGCGCGCCGCGCCCGGCGTGGCCGGATATGGCAAAGGGGCTGCTCGGGGCGGCCTGGACCCCGGCTTGCGCCTTTACTCCTTGAAAACTGCCACTCGTATGACAAAAGCCGCGCCCGGCGCCCCGCCCAGGCTGCTCTGATGTCACCCCCACCCGTGCCCCGCCCGCACTTGCGCCATCATCTGGCCCACGCCCGCGCCTGCGTGCGCCCCCGCCCCCATTTGGCTTACGCACGCAACCGCGCCCGCGCCCGCAGGCCGCGCCGCCCAGCAGCTGCAGCGCAGGGCCGGCGTGCCTGCAACCACCGCCCACCGCTTGCTCGGCTGCATGACCCCCGAGGCGCTCGCGGCCAAGAAGGCAGCCGCGGCGCGGGATGCCGGCAGCAGCAGCGACGATGAGGAGGACGCTCGTCTGCCGCCTGTGTGGGCGGCGCACGAGCGCCAGCTCAGCAGGGCGGGCGCCCTCGCTGCCGCCCGCGGCAATGGCGACGCCCAAGCGGATGCGGCGGATCCGGAGGATGGAGAGGCTAGCGACGACGGGGACACCGATTGGGACGCATTCGAGGATGCAGACGGCGACGCGGCGGCCGGCGGCGCGCGGGGGCAGCGGTGGGTGTGGGAGTTTCACGCGGGCAACCCGCTGCCCTACAGCTGCGTTGTTGTGGACGAGGCGAGCATGCTGTCCACAGACCTCTTGGCCCGGCTGGTTGCGGCGCTCAGGTGGGGCGAGTTTTGGCGTCTCTTGGGCGCAGGGGAGCGGTCGCGATTTCGTCGCGGCAGGCGGCGATCTGGGTCACGGGTGTGGCAAAGTGACCAGCATCCACGGGGCTGGAGCCGCGTGCAGCTCGAGCTTGGTGGCGGCTTGAACTTGAGAGGCCGGGGCTGCTCAGAGCTTGGACGAACGGCCGCCGGCTCACGTTGCTGTGTTTCTACCGTGTGGCTGTCTCTCGTGCCCTTGGCCCTGCGCCCACACACACTGACGCATCTCGCGTCGCTGCGCTCCAAATACTACACTGGGCAGGCGGGGCGCGCGTCTGGTGCTGGTCGGCGACCCGGACCAGCTGCCGCCGGTGTCCCCCGGGACGCCCTTCCTCGCGGCCATCAGGAGTGGCCTGCTGCCGGTCGAAGTCCTCCGAGAGGTGCGCCCTGCCATTCGTTTTTGCTTCTGATTTTCAGCCGTGCTGCCGCTAGCCAGCACAAGCGTGGTGGCGCGGCCGCGCTGCGGCGCTGCTGCAGGCCTCAGTCCACGCAGGGGACGGATGCGCTGGCGCCAGCTGGCATTGCGTGGGTCCCACAGGCTCGCCCCTCTTGGACCATACTTCTCCACGATCAAGCCTGTGCTGCACCGCGATGTGGTGGTGTCTTGATGCCCCTGCGCCTCAAGGCACTTTGAAACCCAGCACAACGGCCCGCAAGGAAGTGTCCATGCACATCAGTCACCCCCGCAAGTTACTGATGTCACCCCCGCAACTTACACCCGCCCGCAGGTCTTCCGCCAGCGCGCCAGCAGCGCGATCATCCCGGCAGCGCACCAGATCAACGCGGGTGCGGCGCGGTATGAGCACCTCAGCAAATCTTGTCCTCCAATATTTCTTCGCTAGGGGCCGGTCATTTGCTGCTCTGGGTTCTGCGCACCCTCACTCTTGTGGCCGGCCGCACGAGCGCTGTTGCTGCCTGGCGCGGGAATTCAGAAAGCAATGGCTGCGCAGAGCTCCCTGATGCAAAGACGCCTCTCCTGCCTGCGGCAACGCAGCCATGCACCTTTCCCCCTAGGATTGCCGCCGTCAGCACACGGCCGGGTCAGCACAACGCGCGAGCACACGCGTGCACTCAAAGCCAGCCACTCACCCATCCTGCGCAGGCGCCCTGCCCACCAGCATGGACGTCTGGCGGCCCGGGTCGTCAGCGCCTGATGACGTCATCAAGGCCATCTACTCCGCCCTCGACTCAGCCACCGAACCCTGGCCCACTGGATTGAGCCCTACCCACAACGGGCCGGTGACATTCAGCGCACCGGTCACCGCAGACACCGACATCATCGGCTTGAGCGACAATGACGAGGATGACGACGACGACAAGGATGATCAGGATGATGAGGATGACAAGGATGATGCGGCGGAAGCTGCCACGGTGGAGGCGCCCGGGCCTCCGTTGGTCTCGCGCCTCAGTCTGGCCAGCGACGCGGTGTGGCTGCAGCTTCATGACGGCTGCCAGCCCCTGCAGGTGGCGGCGGCGGCGCGCGAGGTGGTTGAGCGCGTGCTGCTGCGCGATGGGGGCGCGGAGGTGCAAGAAATTCAGGTGTGGACCGGTTGCCTGCGCAGCCTAAACCCTGATCCCTCACCCGTGCCGCTGTCCCTTGAGCCTGGCGGCCGCGCGCCTTGGCATTTGTGCGGCATGCGCGTGCGAGAGGGTCCACTGGTGTCTGGAGCGCGGCAGGGTCACCTGTGTCACCCTGCGCAGGCCTCGCCGCGTTGATCATGGCGCAGTGTGAGCGGCCAGTGCATGCAGGCAAATGGATCTATTAGCACCGATTTGCGCCGCCCCACCCCATGCTCCCCAGGTCCTCACCCCCACCAAGAAGGACGCCGCGGGGACGCACGCCCTGAACGCCCTGCTGCAGCCGCTGATGAATCCCGAAAAGGACGCCAACGGCACAGCCAAGCCGGCGGTGCCTGCATGGCGCGGCGCGGGCGCGCCGACCTGGCGGGTGGGGGACCGGGTCGTGCAGACCGCGAACGACTACCAGAGGCTTGTTTCGAACGGTGGGCCGGGCCGGGCCAGCCAGCTGGGCCGTGGCGCACCCTGCCGCGCCCCGCCATACGCGGGGCGGCAGCTACCCTTTCCGCACCCGCCGGCGCGGTGCGACGCGCGAGTGCCGCGGGCGCCAAGCCAAACGGCCCCAGTGTGCACTGCTGTCGCTTGCCCGCCGCGGCAGGGGCGTGTGTGCCTACCAGCGGCCGCCACGATAGGCGGCGGCGACATACCCGCAAAGTTGCACCCCTGCTCGCTCTGCCACGCGCACCCCGCCCAACGTTGCTCGCTGCTCCAGGGGACATTGGCATTCTCACTGGGCTGGGTGAAAGCGGGAGCGTCTTGAACGCTCAAGTGGCGTTTGATCCCCGGCCCGGCAGCGAGAGAGGGCAGCCGCACGTGTGCAGTTACACCTCACGCGAGCTGCTGGACAGTGTGCAGCACGCGTTTGCAATCACCGTTCACAAGGTGTGGACGTATGCGTGTGTGTGTGTGTGTATGTGTGGGGGGTGCATGTGTGTGTGTGTGTGTGTGTGTGTGTGTGCTTGTGTGCATGCGTGTGTACACACATACAAACATATGCACAGACACACACACACACACGCGCGCGCGCGCGCGCGCACGCATTCGCGGGCAATCCCCTCACCCCCCACAAACACACAAACACATGCTGCGCCCCTGCGCCCCCGCTCCAGGGCCAAGGCGGCGAGTTCCCCGCGGTCCTGGTCGCCCTGCCCCCCAGCTCCCCCATGCTGCTGACGAGGCAGCTGTTGTACACCGCCGTCAGCCGCGCGAGCGAGTTACTCATCCTTGTCGCGTCGCGCGCCACGGTGGAGGCCTGCCTGCGCACAGAGCAGCGCCCGCGCCGGACGATGCTGCCGGACTGGCTCGGCGCGCAGGCGGCGCGGCGGGGCCTCTCGCGGGTCGAACCGCGCGTGTTTGGCGGCGGGGCGGGCGCTGCAGAAGGCGGCGATGGGTCTGCAGGGGAGGGGGAGGGGGCGGGTGCCCAAAGTTCGGCTCGGACAGCGGCAGCCGCAGGCGCCGCGGGGGAGCAGGGCGAAGAACCGGCCGGCATCGCGGTCGGCGCAGACCAGGCACTGGGACGTGGAGAGGGCCCGGCGCCTCGGGGGAAGGGGGTGGCCGCGGCGGGCAGTGTGGGAAGCAATGCTGACGCAAAGCGGGGGCCGAGCGGGACGCAGAGCGGCGGCGCGGCGGCCGGGGAGAGCGAGGGCGCCGCCGGCGACGCGGCAGGCACCGGCGCCGCCAAGCAGCGCCGCCCGCGCGTGGCCCAGGGGCGCAAGGAGCGGCCTCCGCGGGCCACGGGCGGCAGCAAGCGGGCGGCGGGCGCAGGCGGCGCGGCTAAGCCCAAGCGCGGCCGTCCGAGGAAGGAGGTCGAAGGCAGCGACGCTGGGGCGGGTTGCGATTGAGGCGTGCCGAGAGGCAGCAGGCTGGTCTTCACAGTATCGTGCTAGCTAGCCTTCAAGGGAGTGTCGTAGCCAGGGCAGGTAGCGGTCCCTCAATGAATGTGTACAAATGAATGTTTCTAACGAGAGTGAGTGTTTTCTAGGTTGTCTCCCACGTTTCGCGCCTTCAGTGTGGCAGTGTAAAGCTGGCGTCGGCCCTCTGCAGGATGCACCGCTGGGTAGCATGCGCGGGGCAGGGACAGCATGCGCCTAGTGACTGGGCTTGCCGCTGCACAGCTGGGTGGGATCGGCCTGCCGGCGCCGCCCGTCGGCGCTTGGGCAAGCTGGGTGCGTTGTAGCAGCCCGCACCCGTGGGCTCATGACTGCTTGATGCACCAAGGGGGCATGCGCCAAGGGCCGCGGCCTTCCAGGTGGCCCCTACGCTGCGCAACCGACGCGACAGTTTGTTCGGTGTGACGCAGGCCGAGCCTCGCGTGTGCCCGCCGCACAAGCAAGCAAAGCATGTAGTCAGTAAGGGCGTCGCACGCAGGAGAATTAGGGCTTGTGCGGCATGCGCGGCGGTGGCGGGGCGCGCGGCCTGCAGCATCTTCCCTAGGTACTCTGTGCGATGCATGCACGTGTGGCGCGGCAGCTGGGCCAGAGTGCCAGAGGCCACCGCCGGCATTTCCCGTGCCCACGTTTGCCAGAGCCTTTACCCGTTTTCTCTGGATGCAAAGTGTAGGACTTGATTTGTCGGAACTTCACCCTCCCACGCCTGGTCGGACTTCGTGTTCGCTTGCGGACGACTCGAAGGCACCCTCCCCTTCATCAGCTTATACCAGCAGCTGGTGTTGTCGAATGCTAGCAGCTTTTGGTGGGGCCGGGACGAGGAGCAGGCGGCCGGGGCAGAAGGGGACGCGGGCCAGGTCGGGACGCTGGCAGCATGGCACAGCCTGAGAGGAAGAGAGCAGCCCCGGGCGTGTCGGCACTTGACGTGGTCGTCATGACGCGTGCCAAGGCGCGCAGGACGGGCCCGGCGGTCCCGGCCACCATCGCCTGGGGCGCTGCACTGCCGCCGCCCAGCCAGAGCCTGAAGGGCGGCGCCGCCGCGCCGTGGCTCGCGGCGGCCGACGCGCGCAGCCAGCCGCTGGAGCAGCCGCGGCTCCCTGACGACGTCAGCAGCACCACCGCCAGCCCCCAGCTCGCGCCCGGAGACGCGCCCGAGGCGCCGCCCCGGCTTGTGCTGCCGTCGCGGCTGCACTGCGACGAGCGGCGCGCCGCCGCGGCGCCGCCCGACGCGTGCCCGGACCAGCGGTGTGCCAGGGAAACCGCAAGCGGCGCCCCCGCCGCCGGTGCCGGCCACAGCGCTGCCGACAGCTCTACGGG